AAAAAAGAATTAGCGAAATCGGTTCAGCTGCTCTCGAGATTTGCACTTAGCAACACATTCAGCGATTCATTTTCATATTATAGATATAAGCCTTTACATATTTCTTTGATTTTCATATTTTCTTTGTCTTCAGCGACGTTAACACATAATTTACAGTGTATGATACCTGTGTGTGAGATATTGTATGCACTGTATATTTATAGACTGTATTGTTTATTTACTGTATCTTGTATATTAGGTATTAGTGAGATGAAAGTGAGTGTGTGTGTGTGTGTGTGTGTGTGTGTGTGCGTGTGTATACACGTGTGTGCACACGTGTACGTGTGTATGTGCATGTGTGTGTGTATGTGTGTATGTGTGTGTGTGTGTGTGTCTGTGTGTGTGTGTGTGTGTGCGTACGTGTATGTGTGCGTTGAGTTGCTATTTATATATTTTCCAAAGCCGCGGAGACAGTTCTTTTTAATTTCTTGAAAGTGCAGAGGTTTTTTACTACATATTTTTACAACACTTACTAATTTTAAAACTATTACTACTCTAGTGGATTTAGTTATAAGATTCTTTTACGGTATCATCGATTATACTATGGGCTACGCCTTTTTATTTTATAGGAGAGGGGGCAAACGTGCATACGGCTCACCTGATGGTAAGTTACTACCGCCGCCCATGAACAACCGCAACACCAGGGGAATTGCAAATGCGTTGCCGGCCTTTTAAAAAGGATTAGGCTCTTTTCTTAAAGGTCCCTAAGTCGTATCGGTCCGGAAAAATCGCTGATGGTAATCGATTCCACAAGAAAGTCGTGCGAGGAAGAAAATATCTTCTAAATCGCACAGTGGTGGACCGCCAATCATCCAGATGGTGTGGATGGTATCGGGAGTTCTGCCGCGATGTGCGTTCGTGAAATTTGGTGGCTGGGATTAATACGAACAATTCCTCAGAGCACTCACCGTGGTAGATGAGAAAGAAAATGCAAAGGGATGCAACATCTCTTCGCAGTGCCAATGAATCGAGCCGATCGGAAAGGACTCGGTCGTTGACGGTTCCAGGCGCTCTGCGCTGGATGCGGTCAAGTGGAAGAAGCTGGCACTGGGGAGCCCCTGCCCAGAGACGGGAACAGTATTCCATGTTAGACAAAACCTGCGCCTTGTAAAGTTGCAGGCGGTGTGCCGGCATGAAATGCTGTCCCGCTCTGCTGAGCACGCCAAGCTTTTTAGAGGCCAATTTGGCCTTCTCTTCCAAATGGCCACGAAACTGCACGTCACTCGATATGTCGACTCCGAGGATTCCGATAATGGCTCAGGCAAGAAGGGTAGTGCCTTGAAACTGAGGAGATACGACAAAGGGGTTTTTTTTTAGCAGTAAACGCGCATACTTGTGTCTTCTGAGGGTTAAACTTTACTAAATTTAGTCGCCCCCAATCCGAGAGTTTGTTCAGCAAAGACTCGACTTCAGACACAAGTTTGTTCCGGTACTCAGCGATGTTTTCCCGAGAAATATTGGCACGGCCAGTGTAGACCAGAAGATCACCAGCTGATCGACCCCGACGAAAACCGTATTGGCGGTCACTAATCAGCTGGTGATCCTCAAGGTACCGGATGAGCTGGCAGTTAATAATGGATTCCATTATTTTGGAGAACAAGGAGGTGATCGCGATAGGCCTATAGTTGGACGGGTCTGAGCGGTCGCCTTTTTTAGGGATCGGGTGGACAAAAGCTGTCTTCCATGAATTCGGGACTACGCCTTGGGAGTAGAAGTACCGGAAAAGACGCATTAGGACCGGTGCCAACTCCGGAGCATACGTCCTCAGCATAATTGGAGGGATTCTGTCAGGCCCACTCGACTTCTGGATGTCCAGGGAGAGGAGTGCTTTGCGAACCGAGCGCTGTGAGAACAGCACATCCGGCATGGAGCACTCACACCGCGGGATGGTCGGCGGTGTTTTCCCCGAAGAGTCGAGTTGGACGCAAAAAGGGAGCCTAAAAGGTCGGCTTTGTCTTTTGAGGCTTGGGCCAGTGAGTCGTCCTCCCTGTGCAGAGTGATGTGATAGTGATGGCTTACAGAAATTCCCTTAGACAGCCTTGGCGAGACCAGACCAGAATGCACGGGTTCCCGAAGGAAGGCGAACCAGTTTCTCGCCAATTCTGCCTCTGTGCTCTGACTTTGCCTTGGCAATAACTCTTTTGAAGGACCTGGAGGCAAAGTTATACATCTTTTTAAGTGTGCTGGTGTTTACATCCTGAGTCGCCGAAGCCGCAGTCCAGGCCTGATAACACTCCTGCTTACTTAGTAATGCAGTCTTACAGGAGTGACCAAACCAAGGCTGAGATCTGCCTCCGATGGGTACCACAGATGATGGAATAAATAGTTCCATTCTCTGTAGCAACACATCAGTGACAGAGTCAGCAACAGCACTGTGATCATCCGGCGAGAAGCGAATCCGCCCACCTTGGGTAGGATTCAAAGAAAGACCGCATTCCGTCCCAATCCGCCGACTTGTAATGCCAAACACGGCGGCAACCTGCAGAACGCAACCGAGAGGGGACCGTGAGTGGCACCACACTCCGGATCAGACAATGGTCCGAAGAGCCAAGAGGGGCATCGACGGAAACCTGATATCCGTCCGGATGAGAGGTCAGCAGAAGATCCAATAGGGAAGGTGTATGATCCTCCACATCTGGAATCCGCGTAGGCAAAGTAACCAGTTGTGTCAGACCATATTCCAAGGCAAAGTCATAAACAGATCTCCCCGCATGATCGGTTAAACGTGAAACGAGCCATTCGGCGTGGTGGGCGTTAAAATCGCCTTGGATCACGATCTCTGCGGATGGGACCTGTTGTAACAAGGAATCTGTAGCCATTTGGACGTGGTCGATGAATCGGTCTGTTTCGGCATTACTGCTATGGGACCTATAGAGGCACCCGTAGACGCGCGGATGGTCGTCGCTGTCTACGCGTAGCCAAAAAATGGACAGGTCCGAACCTTCAAGACTGCCGAGGCGTCGAGAACAGATGTCCTCTCTGACATACACGCAAACTCCAGCCCGAGGCACATAGGAGTGCTCCAATTTGTACCTCGGGTACGAGAGATAAGAAGTATCAGCCGGAGAGGATACCTGCGTCTCGGTCAAAAAGTGCAAGGCCAGCTTCGCCGTCTCGAAATGGTAGTGGACGGCGTTAAGGTTCGAGTGAAGTCCCCTGATGTTGGAGAAATTCACGCATAATGTGGCAGGGGTCGCCTTGGTATTGTTGCTCAGTTTGCCCCGAGCAGTTATGTTTTTGAGCGGAATTTCCCCCCCCCCTCCCCAGAATAAGCGGGGCAGCCTGAGCACCCACGCCCAGGAGTGGAATAACATGGTCGTGGATGCTTAGCGAGGGATTCTCCAGGGGTGCTGGTACCCTCCTGGGGTAGTCTTTCGTGTAATTCCGCTACCATGTTGATGGGTGGGGGGGGTGCACTCACCAGACGAAACGCAGAAGCAGAGCTTCTGATTGAGCCAGTGATTGACCACAATACCCCTGGTGGTAAGTGTGTGAAACCCTAGATGGTAAATCGCACTGTCTTAGCGTAATAAAAGCCTATTCACCCATTGCCTAGAAGACGCCCAGATTGTATTGGGATGGTAAAACAGACGCCGGGAAATTATTCCACTCCTTTGCGTACAAAAGACAAAACAAACCGTTGGGTTCTATGCGTGGAATATCGACAACAAAAGGGTGAAGACCCTGATGACCTGGTGAACGGAGTCAAACCGCGAACTAACTTAATATGGTCATAGTATCAAGAAGGTCCGTTCTAAGTTCACGTATTGTGACGGAACCCTATATTGGGTGTGGTCCGGATACAACCTAGGCCGCTTTTTTAGAATTGTCCGTCTGTCTGTCTGTTTGCCTATGAACGTTTCACGTCCTAAGTACTTTTTTTTTTCAAAAGAATCGTTATGCAAATCATAAAGCGTATCTTCTGATATCATTTAGTCTTTGTTTCATTTTATCAAAAGTTATAATCAATGAAAAAAACTAAAGGTTTATCTTTATATTTTATTTTTAAAAAAAAAACTTTACCCCCACACTAAGATTTTCTCCTGTATCGTGGAGGCAGTTTACAAACACAAATTGCACAAGGACAAACATCCAAACCCGGAACAATTATTTGTAGGCCATACAAATACTTGTTCCTTGCGGGATTCGAACCCGCGGCCCCCAGCGCAGCAACTCATTGCTAAGCCACGGAGCCGTCAATTTATTTATTTCTTTTTTTTATTTATTTCGTTATGTACGAATTTGTTCAATGGTGGCGTTGAGTCATTAAGTACATTTTAATCTTATATCGGTAATGGTAATTAATTTATATAAAGTAATTTTCTTTGATATAACTATAACTACGACGCAGCATTTAAAAAATAATGTTTTCTTACAAAGATTAACGTAATACTACAATACTTACCAAGAGGTGAAAATAAAAATTTTGTACAGCCGAGTTCAATATAAATTATTAAGCATAACTGAAAAACAGTCCTAGTCAGATCTTAATCAAATTCATATGGGACTACATGAGAAGCAGCGGCTTTCAAATAAAAAAGAATCTTCGAAATCGAACCGAGAAAAAAGTTACGATATAGCACACATAAAAAACATACAGTCGAATTGAGTACCTCCTCCTTTTTGAACTTTTAAAGTCGGTTAAAACGCCATCTATTGATAAACGGTGTCATCAATAGATGGTTGAAATGTACGGTAGAAATTAAACTTAATTATGTATTTCTTAAAGTAAATTTTCGGAACGTGCAGACGTGACAGATTATCTCATAAATGAGAGGACACATGTACCCAGCGTAAAGTCTGAAACTTTATTTTACATTACATTAACTTCCAAATGACAAGTTAATAATTCAAGTATTTAGATAGTATTAGATAGTATAATATTAATTAAGAAGCACATTGAAACTCGTTAGATTGTATGGAATTAATAAATAAGGATAAAAATAATTTCCATTACTTACTAGTGGCAGCCATGAGTTGAGGTAAGTATTTTTGCCAAAACGCGCACTGCTTTACACGAAGACCGTGCCCGACGGCGCTAGAGTTCACTGCGAGTGACAGATATTCCCGACCGGCTGCTGTGTGCAGCGGCCAGTGTACTTTTGTCATTTCGCCATTAGGGTTTATCGATGGATTTCTGGAATCGATATTATGAAACTTTAGTTCAATACTATGCTTTATGCGATTTTACCTTGCATCCATCCATTATCTCTATATACGAGTATAAAAATCAATTGCTGTCCGTTAGTATCGCTACACTCAAACGGCTCAAACGATTTTAATGATTTTTTGTGTGCGTTTGGGTGGGTCCTTGGATTGTTAAGATTCACAATTGTACCCGGTAGATGGCACTGTTTTCTAGATCCGAAAATCACCCGTGCAAAGCCGGGCTGAACATAGGTCTCTCCCATAGAGTGCCTCATAAGAGAGATTTTGTCGTAGTTGAGACCCTTGGCAAGCGGGTTTTTTATTATTCTAATTTGTATCAGGAAGATGCTGGTACTCATCTTCTGTTTCAGTTTATGTGGTAGAATAATGCTGCAGCTATATTATGGTTATAGAAAAAATGGAACGGCTCGACCGGGGAAGGACCAAGCTCTCACAGAATACCAGAGTAAAATAGCGGCTTGAGTTTAGAGAACCGAAGACCTTTTTTACTATAAACCAGGCATTCCATCTTAATCTGATTTGAAAACGCATCCACATTTTGACTCTTAATTGAAGATAGACGTAGATATTTATGGGCCACAGCATCCACTTACCATCAGGTGAACTGTGTGCTCGCCTCGTCCGCTAAAAAAAATAAATAAAAAAAACTGCAATTATCCGCCTTATTGGAGATTTATGATAAAGTCTTATGTCCGGCAAGTATAATTTTATAGGCTTTAACGATGGCGGTAAATATAATCAGTTTAAATCTCATCAGAGGATCGTCACATCGTTTTTAGTGAACATTTAGTCAGTAGTTGATAATGACGTAACAAAAGTCAGCGTGGAATGATAATATTTATTCTAATTTTTTGCGAACATTTAAATACTGGTACAAGTTATAAATATTATTTGACATATTTTACATATTGTTTCATTTTAATATCCTTATTTACCTCACTGTTAACTTAGTAATGTTATAAAATGCGTATGTGTTTTGTTTCAAAATTTTAAAACTATCACAATATTTAAAAATATATATACATACCCTGTTCTCGCAAAATTGGCCCAATATCTCATTAAGCGCTTGCTGAACTCAACTTCTTCAGGCGAGTAATTTTTTCCGGGGTTCAATGGCTCTCCAAACACATAGTTGATCTCGTCCGCGTGCATCACTCCAGTCCACGAAGGCCACGGATTATTTTTGCTGCGATGTTTGTAGTAATAAGTGTAGACGTTATTACCAGTTTCGGCATACCGATGAGCGAACTCATTAACACCACAAGTAAAATGATAATCACCCACCATTTTATCCAAAGCATTCCGATTTTTCACTGGATCGTCGGGGTTCAACCAATCCGTATATTCATATACTATGGCTTGCCTTGCAACTTCATTTACATAAGGGTTTAATTCTCTAACAGCTTGCAAATATTGTTCCCTCGTAATTCCTACGTTCTCTTCCTTAGGGAACAACTCAGTAAGATAATAAAGTATGAAGTAATAACCTTCTTCGGTGTTTGATCCCATTAAAATATTTGTCTTTTTAAAATTTTGGTGAATTAATGACCTGATAGGCATCTCATCTAAAAATGCACCATCTATTATTGGAACAAAAGGAAATTCACAAATTCCTAACGTTCCCCACTCATTATTAACAAGTTCATCAGCGCTTTTCTTTCTTAAACATTCAACCATCGGGCCCATGTCTGTCCTAGAATTTGGGCAATGAACAGCTTCAGCTAATCTTATACCGCGAAGTACGCTTTCTTCTCGAGATATAATAGCCCAAGGAGCTGTTGCTGCTCCCGACTGCATTATAGCTTGCGAAAACAAATTTCTTGATAGAGGAGATAACAAATGTAGCGAAACTGATACTGCTCCAGCTGATTCACCGAACAAAGTTATGTTATGAGGATTACCACCAAAATATGCAATATTATCTTTGACCCACTGTAAAGCCATAATTTGATCAAATAGACCAGCGTTTCCTGGAACATCTGGCGTATCAAAAAACAAGAAGCCTAATGATGCTACTCTGTATTGCATTGAGACGTAAATTATCTTTTCTTCGGAGACAAGAATTTTAGGATCATAAACATCTAAAGTAGCAGTTCCAGAATAAAATCCTCCACCAAATACCCAAAGCATTACCGCGGCGTTTTTCGGACGAGGTTTTGGTACTACTATATTTATATAGAGACAGTCTTCCTGCATATCAGTATTGGGATTCCACATCATCGCTCCTGGAAAATCACCAAACACTGTATCTACTATTTGGACGCATGAATGTGGCAGTGTCGTTGTGTTTAGTATTTCATCACCCCAGCTTTCTACGGGTCTTGGATGTCGGAATCTTAGATCTCCTAAAGGTTTTTGAGCATAAGGTATGCCAAACCACGCATCGACTTGTTTTCCTGTGGCTGCGGTAAGTGTTAATCCCCTTACTTTCCCTTTTCTAGTCCGGACAATCAGGGGATCATCATCTTCGGGGCCAAGTTGAGGTTCATCAGCCATATACTCTTCAGCTCGTTCATGGTTAGAATAGAACCTCTCGTCAAACCTTGCTCGTTTGGAAGATGATTCTGCATCTTCGAATTTGGCCCGTTTCGATGACGTTTCATGTTCATCGAGACGAGGAAGTATAGTATCTAGCTCAGGATTATATCGAACGGCTTCGCCATGTCCTCGGTATGGTTGATCCGGGGCTGGTACAGGAAAATGTAAAGGGTGGTCAGGCGCATGGTGCCGGGCACGATGCTCATGCGGGCTGGCAACCGCGCGCGCCACCAGCGCGGCTAGCGTTGCTACTAGCACGCGCATGCCGTCGCTGCACCCGCTCTTATAATCACCACCTGAAAAATATAAAACACAATTTTAAATAAAGAACTTTTATAAAAAACTTTATTTTAAATTTTTTGGGTAAACATTAAAAGAAGTTAAACTTAGTTTAAGTCGGTTATAATAGAAACTTTTTAGAAATTTTAGTAATAAAATTGCCAACGCCCTTGCCAAGCATGGCAACTATTTCCCCTATGAGGCAATCTATTTTTTTTTATAGGATCGGGTGACAAACGAGCACACTTGGGTCACAGTAACCACTTACCTGATGGTAAGTGGTTACTGTGACCCATAGACATCTACATCTATCCTCAATAAAGACTCAAGATGCAGATGCGTTGTCACCCGTGAGGACTAAGATGGAATGCCTCTTTGCCAGTAAAAAGGGTCTCCGGTTCTCTACACTCACCAAAGGAAACACAGCAGCGTTAAGCTGCTATTTTACGCTGGTTTTCTGTAAGAGCGTGGTCCTTCCCCGTTTGAGCCGACCCATTCGTGCTACAACCATAATATAGCTGCAGCATGGCTCTACCACGTATAAAAAGTCCTATCCTCTATCAAAGTCCACTGCTGAACATAGGCCATTTTAAGCAGTGGACTTTAATAGGCTGTAACGGTAACTGTTAGTAATGAAATTGCACTAACTAACAGTCACTTAACATACATTTATTTCAAAAAACTTACAATAGAAAAGTAATTTGGTAAAAAAAAACGAGATAAAAATAAAATTAAGATTAAACCTTTTGAAATCAATTACTTATTAAAGTCATTCAATGTAGCGTTTTGTAAAGATACGTAGATGAATCGCAACGTCGTGGATGGAAGTCTATTTTTGAATCTTTGTGATTCTTAGTTATGGTCCCTTGGGAAGGAACCTTACCTTGTGCTACTTTATTTCAAGTTTTTTTCGAAATTATCATAATACTATAACGTAACTAAGTCTTTTGAAAAAACACAAAACCTGGTCTTATTATTTGGCCAACATTTTTTTAAATGGTCGTGATTATGTATTTTATACAATAGAAAATTGCTTATTAAATTAATGTACCAAATTAATACATAAAAAACATAATACATTAAATGAAATCTCTTATCATCTACAATTTACAATATATTACATAAATTCAATCTGCAGAATGCATTTGCAAAGAAATTTAAAATAAGCACTATTTCAAGTTTATAGAAATATAAAATGGTTTTTAATTAGATTTAAACAAAACCCAGAAAAAAGACACATTCTAAATTAATGTTACGTTGAAATAGATTGGAGGCAACTTAGTAAGTCTCTGGTTTTTAAGATTTACTGATGGTACTAGATGGTACTGATTTTGGATTTGCAATTAAGAATCAAAATGCAGATGTCCTCAACGGTGACAACGGCCTGAGCACTAAGATAGATACCTCGTTACCAGAAAGAACCTACGGTTCTCTACACTCATAGAAAACATAGGAGCTATAAATCATCTACATGACAAAATACTAATAAAATAAGTCCTAACTTTTACATTGATACTCGTAAGTCAAATGCTGTCGAAATATATTGACATACATACATACATACATATAATCACGCCTCTTTCCCGTAGGGGTAGGCAGAGACCAGTTCTTTCCACTTGCTACGATCCTTACATACTTGTTTTGCTTCGTCCACTTTCATTATTCCCTTCATACATGCTCTACGGTTTAGGGTACTCTTGACCTGGCCTTTTTTCAAGACGTCCCTGATTTGGTCTAGAAATGTCCGCCTAGGTCTACCCCTTCCAACACTTTCATTCACACTCGCCTTATACACTTTTTTCGTCAATCGTTCTTCATTCATTCTCTCGACATGGCCAAACCATCTCAGCATACCTTTCTCAATTTTTGTCACTACATCTTCTTTCAGACCACAACGTTTCCTTACCTCACTATTTCTTAGCCTGTCACTCAGTTTAACTCCTATCATACTTCTTAATGCTCTCATCTCAACTGCATTTATTCTGCTTTCATGTTTCTTCTGCCATACCCAAGTTTCACTTCCGTACATGAGTGTCGGAACCAACACCCCCTCATGCACAGCCAAACGAGCCTTGTTAGACACCTTCCGACTGCTCATAAAGGAGTGCAAAGCTCCATTCACCATGTTTCCTGCATTCACTCTTCTTTCGATATCACTCTCACACTTTCCATCTCTTGTAAACTTTGAGCCCAGATACACAAACTCTTTCACCTGTTCAATTTGTTCATCATCAATCACGATATTGCAGTCTGTCACTGCCTCATCTTTTTCAAACACCATCACTTTCGTCTTCCTTACATTCATCTTCATTCCCTTTCTGACAAAAGCTCCACTCATAGCAGTTACCATCTCCTGCAACTCCTCGGCCGAAGACGCAAGTAATACTTGGTCATCAGCATAGAGAAAACATTTGACGAGTAACTCATTCATTCTCAACCCACTTTCATTCTCTTTTAAATCTGTCAAACAATTGTCCATGAACAGATTAAACAGCCACGGTGACGCTACACATCCCTGTCTAACACCTTTTTCGATATTAAACCATTCAGTGTATGCCCCGTTTATCCTTACACAAGCACTAGAATCCCTATAAAGAGATTGCATTGCTCGTATGAGGATACTGCTCACACCGTTCACGGACAGTGCTGACCACAATTCATTCCTCACCACTCTATCATAGGCCTTTTCTAGATCTACGAACGCGCAGTAGACTTTCTTGTTTTTAGCCAAATACTTTTCGGCTATGCACCGCAAGGAAAAGACCTGATCCGTACATCCCATTCCCTTTCTAAATCCCGCTTGTGCATCCCATACTTTCTTGTCTGTTTCATTCACAATCCTTTCAATCAACACTTTCGCATACAATTTACCGACGACGCTGAGAAGGCTTATACCGCGGTAATTTATGCAGTCCTGCCGTGACCCTTTTCCCTTATATAATGGCACGATTACGGCTTTGCACCAGTCTCCCGGTACTTGCCCATTTCGCCAGCACAGATTGAAAAGGCGGTACAGCTGACTAGCCACCAGGCCCTGTCCAGCCCTCAGCATCTCGACGGTAATCCTGTCATACCCTGCAGCCTTACCTAATCTCATACTTTTCAACGCTTTCACTATTTCATCCATGCTTATCTCATTTTCATCAACATTTATATTAGTTTCCGTGGAAGGTGGCAGATGCTGTACCTGCACTTCCTCTCTTTCAAACAAACTTTCAAAATACTCTTTCCATCTCTTTAACACACATTCTTCTCCTTTTATAATGCTCCCATCTTGACTCCTGATTGTACTCAGCTCAGAGGTAGAAGTTTTTCCTCTGGCTGTTTTGATTGTTTTCCAGAAAAACTTAATGTTTGACTGGAAATCTTCAGTGAGCCTCCTATCGAAATCATCCTTTCGTTCTTCTTTCTTTCTAGACACAATTTCTTTCGCTGCTGTTTTCAATCTTTTATACTTCGTTCTTGCTTCCTTTATCTCGTCATCCGTTGCCTTTTGAACTTTTTGGTTAGCTTTTGTTGCTAACCAATCCAACCACGCTTTCTTCTTTTCTTGCACAACCTTTTGTACATCTTTATCCATCCACACGTTATCATTCTTTCTTCCTTTCCTTCTTTTAGCTACCCCGCATACCTCGATAGCAACATTTACGACCCCTTTCTTAAATGTCTCCCACAAATCTTCAATCACTCCTATCTCTTCTATCCCTTTAAAACTTTCTTTCAGTTTCTCTACATACTCGTCTTTCTTTTCTTCTTCTTGTAGATTTTCCACTTTTACTCTGTCCAAAACACTCGTAGGCTCGGCCTATATTGACTTGAAAGAGATATAACAACATCCATTTATATATATATATATATATATATATATATATATATATATATATATATATATATATATATATATATATATATATATATATAATATATGTATATATATATATAATATATGTATATATAAACATCAAAGAATAACGTTTGGAATATATCATATTAAAATATATGCATTTAAAATATCTTAGAGTATCTATTGCTATAATTATTAAAAACGCTTGCGGTAAATCTCATAGTTTTAGTCAACCCCGGTGGCGCCGTTGAAATTTAGATCAGCATAAAGCGGTTTTTTTCGATATTATAGAGTCTTTATTTCCGTACGTCATCAGATCTTCATTGTCTCATAACTCTCTAAGAAATTAACTATGCTGAACAGAAAGACGTTTTAAGCTGTAAATTACTTTGCTTTTTACCCAACCGCCCCAGAAAGATGATAATGTTTATCGAGTGTATGTATGTATTCTATTTCATATTCTCTTCTTTAGCACTCTCTGTAGTTTAAACAGCTTGATAGGTTTTAATTTTGTTATTTAGGGTGTCGTAAGGTTGACCTTAATTATAGAAGTGACAGGGTTTAAATGTTTCTCCTTTCAGTAAAGTTTTTGACGCAGTTGTTTTTTTTTATTACTGTTTCAACCAATTGGCTTGTTAAATGTTACGAGTAGAATTATCAGTTCAAAAAGAGAACATCACGTACATGTCAAGTGATACCGAAACCAACTCAACTTTTTGACACGCTGAGTGTACTCATCATTCTTCTTTCTTTCTTTATCGGTCTATAAAAATGACCGCTGGACACACACACTTGATTTGAGATTTAATAACTAGTGGTGTCCCGTCTATATTTCTTTATTATTTTGAGTTACCTATAATGTATATAATATATAGTACTTTTTGTCAATTATAAGTAGGTACATAATATAATGTAACTTATTAAATAATAGAACTGTCATTGGAACCTGACTATTCGTATGGATTAGTTCGATTTATTTCTTTATCGTGATATTTTATGTTTGCCCAAATCACATTAATCTTATCACAGGAAATTGGATGGACTTGGATTAGACTAATAATCGTAAATTTGCTACACTTTATTAGTATTTTGATTTTAAAAATGATTTAGTTATAATAGAATATACAAGTACATATTTTTG